TCTCTATGTTACCATAAAGGGTAACATTTATGAAGGTCTGAATATCTGAGGAAATCTCTTCCTGACATAACTGTAGTCAGGTCTCATGTAGTCTTTGGCCATAAAAGTAAAAGTCTCTCTTAGCTCTGGTTGGAAACCTTCTGTTTCAGCCACCGGAGGGAGCTGCTCACTTGTGTGTACAGAAGTGCACCTTAGCAGTGCTGCAATTTAAAGCAGAGATTCCCAAACTTTTGCTTATTGCGTACCCCTTCCAGATTTACCAGCTGCTCAAGTACCCCTACCAGTATACCGTTTATATTTTAACCCCTTAAATGCCAATTATTAGTAGAATGAAAGTTAAATCTGCCATTACACAATTTCTCCCACGTACCCCTCCAGAGATGTCTTGCATACCCCAGGGGTATGTGTACCACAATTTGGGAACCCCTGATTTAGAGCACTATGAAGTTACAGCACTCTTAAATATGATAGAAGTGCAGTGTTGCGGCTGGGGGGGGAGGGTGCTGCAGGGGCAGGGAAGCGGGCGTGATTTTGAGCCTCTCTGCACTTTCCAGGCTTGGAGGCAGGAAATGCTCTGCAGCCTTCTGGGGCTTCTCCACTGGTCAGAAATTTGACCAGAATTATTTAAAGTGCTGTAGGTTGCTAAAGTGCTGTAAAATACAGGGCTGCAAATTTAATACCTCATTTAGCAAGGGTTAATTTAAAGTGCTGTACCCATTTTTAAAGTGCTGTAAAGCCGTGCGCTTCTGTTAAGTTGCAGCAATAAAGCACTTTAAATGGAAAAAAAAACCCCAACTTCTGCACACACCTCAAGTTGGCTCAGTCAAAACCAGAGGTGTCCTTGTCAGAACCAGGGAGTCCTCACAACCAAGCAAAGGTTTGCATATCCAAAGGTTGCCTGATCTGAAATCTAGGGTGCGTCCCATTATTCTGGAGATAGTCTAACAACCCTAAACTTAATTTGCCTTGATTCTGCAGAGGCTGAAAGTTGCTGTGAGTCACTCGTAATAACCAATGATCAAAGATACAGGCTTCAAGACAGAGTCCAGAGGCAGAGATCCTGTTTTTGACCTGTTGCATTCATTGTTTTGAATCCAAATTAGCACCGTGCTTTCTGCTGGCTTGTAACTCCTGCATCTCGCAAGGTTGCTGCCTCATCCTGGACAAATTTTTGTTTTTCCCTTTAAAATTGCCTATCTCACAGGAAAACACAGCAGCCAAAACTTTGCTCTGTTGGTCACTTAGCTACAAAGGAAACTGATGTCCACAAATGTAAAAGAGCCACATGGCAGTGATGGAAATGGGTCTGAACTAAATCTGTCAGCAGTGACAGACATGGAACCCCCCCCCCCCGCACTTTACAGGAAGAAACCATGTGTTAGTTCAACACAGCTCTGCAGTGTCTGTATAGACTGGGCACTTCAGTGCCGCTTTTTAGTGCTTTTATCTAAAGGAGATTCAATCAGCTATTACATAAAAGCACCAAAAAAGCCCTGCAGAAATGCCCAATCCATGCAGACATTGGGCAAGCCAGGTCCAACACCATGCCTCTTCTGCGCATGAGCTGGGCTTGGTGTCGGGGTGTACGGAGTTTGAAGTAGACTGCAGTTGCTGGAGGGGTTTTTATGCCTGTAAGTAGTCATAAATACTGGTGAATGCTAGAAGAGGAAATCTGCAGCTGCTCTCAGCCTTCTTGGTTGGCCCAATGTCGTGTTGGATTGAAAAGAAAATCTGGACCCAAATACAGCATAGCACCAGTGAAGTTTGGATGGAGATCTGAATGCTCAACTTTCTGCCTGTTCAAATGGACACAGACTCAACAGAGGGAATAAAGGAGAGCATATCACAATTTCCCACGTAGAAATCTTTCCCCATCAATGCCAGTATTAAACTTTCCTTCTTGATGCCTCACCTAAAGCCCTGTACTTATGCAGACAGACAATAGATGCCAACACATCTGCACATGCCCCTTGTTATCATGCCTCGTCCTCTGACACACATAAAGCCCTTCTTTGCAATCGGTATTGTAGGTTATAAGCACACTTCTAAGCAGTGCATTTTGATCCTACTTATCTTGCTTATCACCATCTACTAGAAACACACATTCTGCACCTCCCAGTCAAGGATGCCTGCACTCAAGTTTCAAGGCAGGCTGGTAGGGTGTGGGGACAGGAAGGGAAAAGTGGGAGTTTTTCCTAAGTTGCTTCATTTTTTTTCACTTTGCCATTGTATTACAACAGAACATGGAAAACATGAACTCAAAAATCCACCAGCCTGATCCTTCCAGAGAAATTAGCTGGAGCAAGACATTCATAAATAGACGTATAACACATTTGTAATTCCAGCCAAGCAAGGATCAAAGCCTTTGTTATACATCTTTTCTATGGGACCTTTAACTCAGGCCTGTAGTTAGTGCAGATGTTGTCTCACTATAGGATCATCCATAATGGTGCAACAGCCCAGACTTTATGTTCACTCGTACCCTGTAGATTCCCAGTTACTCCACTGATATTCTCATGCATGTGCATCTCATGCTTTTCTCTCTGACCCTTCAGTTTTGGACGCATCTTGCAAGACTACAGAAAAATAAAGCAGCTAGGTTAGATCCTGGAGTCCTCCCTGTAATATTTCCAAGGAAAACAATAATCTGCCAGGCAGTGACTAGAGTCACTAAAGAGCTGCACTGGATCTAATCAAGTCATGTTCCTCTGTAGGAAGAGCACAGTAAAAGACAGAGAAGAGCAAAGCGGCTCTATTCTGTAGTATGCTTGTTCTGACAGCAGTTTACCTTTCCCTGGGTAAAATCCTGTCCTGATTAGAGGCAAGGGGAGTTTTCCTCGGGTCAGAATTTCACCCCATGTCTTTAGAGCGGAGGAGATGGGTAGTAGCTGGTCTGACTGTTGCACATAGCTATTGCTTTTACCAAGGCTCTGTTTATTTGGCCGAAGTACCACTCGGTGTGGGTACAGATGGCCATTCTAGCAGCCTGTTAAGGTCACACATTCCTCCGGTGATCTGATATTAGCTTATAGGGTCTCCATTTCATTTGCCCTGCTAATGCCTAACACAAGGTTGAGCACTTAGTCCTGGGTGTTGTTCCTGTTCTTGCTTCATGAAATGCATCAGATTGGAAACTGAGGTCTTGCTGGAAGCCTCTCTGAAACCTGCAGATGATACTGTCAGCTAGGTGCTGTGCTCCTGCTACATAGTAGAAAAACTCGCAGGTGTGGTTTATTCCTCCAAGAAGGGCTGGACCTAGGTTAGAAGTTCACAGGGCTAAGCTCTCCCCTGGTTGCTGGGATACAAGTACACAAATGAGGTGATTTTTTGCCTTAAAAATCCTGCAAATGCACATGTGCTTATATTTATATTAAAGATCAGAAATCACCTTAGAACGGGGGTGGGCAAAATGCAGCCTGCGAGCCGGATGCGGCCCACCAGGCCATTCTGTCTGGCCCATGGGGCCCCTAAAAAATTTAGAAAATTAATATTTATCTGCCCCTGGCTGCCTGTCATGAGGCCCTTGATGGCTTGCCAAAACTCAGTAAGCAGTCCTCCAGCCGAAATAATTGCCCGCCCCTGCCTTAGCATGAGATAACAGAGATTGTCTATGGAATGAACAGAGCCATTGGCACTCCATCTATCACCATTTTCTCTCACCATCAGATTATGACAAATCCTCAGAAAGACATCTAATCTAGGGACCTTCACGAGAACGGCTGATTTGACCATGGGATGAATTGAATCTGTGACTCCGTGAGTCACAGCTTTGTTGATCCCAGATTGCCAGCCAACAAATACAAGCTGTGTAGAATACTGTTATTTATATTTCAGTTAATAAAGCATATGCATCACAACCATCCCTGGGAGTGTGAACAGTCAGAACCACACAAATACACTGGGCAAATATGGTATCAACAGAGTTCACTCACTGCCCTATCTACTCAACTGTATCTTCTGTATGCAGACAAGGTTCTTTGGGTAAACCTGATATCTTTTATTAGACCAGCTCAATTTCCTCCTCCTACAAAAGCCTGAAGAATGGATGGGCCTTGAATTCTGGTATTCAGAGACTGAGCCTCTTAACCTATAGGATACCGTGGTCCAGAGTAGACGGACCATGTCTGAGCATCACCGTTCTCTCAGGTGTTTGAGTTTAGCGCTTTATTAGTAAGAACATCTGCCAACACATAAAGAGAGAAGCAGACTTTTTTAGGGCCCAAGTATATATGGCCCAGTTCCTATCGAAACCAGTAGCATAAACTTCCACCGTGCAGGATTATGGACCTGACCCAGATCTTTTAGTAGAGAACAGAAGTCTTTCCATTGACTTCAGTAGGTTTTGGGTCAAGCTCTAAGCACTCCTAGGTCAGGGTCAGTGTTTTGTTGGTTCATTTTGCCTCTGTTCAAGAACAACCTGCTTCAAGAAGGTGCTCATGCTCCTAGCTGCATCTCACCTCCAGGTGTGCTCTCTGCACGCTGTGGAGAAAACTATTCAGTGCTGCTGTTGGCATACTGGTATTTGCTTGTTACTGATCATTAAGCAGAATAATCACCCTCGCATAATAGTGAGTGATTACATCTCGCTTTGTTACTGCTGCCACAATACAGGCTTCGTGTATCGGAACTGCACCAGTGAAGGTTGGTCCGAGACATTTCCAAGACCTGATGTTGCCTGTGGCTATGATGTGAATGACACTACTAATGAGGACAGAGTGAGTCTGATTTATTATTTGTGACTTAACATGTGTTGCTTAATGATCTGGGGCAGGGGAGGGAGGGGAACTGTAAACAGCAACAGAGAGAAAGCGTGGTTTAATGGCTCTGGCATGAGATGGAGCCTGGAGTGGGTGAATGCGCCCCCTTGCTCCTCAAAAGACTGGACACCAGACCCCTGCCTGAAGCTCTCCCTTGGCTTTGGCTCCCAGCATGGTGGTCGTAGGTCAGCTAAAGGACCTAAGTATGAGACATTAGAGCAGGGGTGGATAAAATGTGGCCTACGGGCCGGATGAAGCCCATCAAGCCATTCTATCCGGCCCGTGGGGCCCCTAGAAAATGTAGAAAATTAATATTTATCAGCCCCTTGCTGCCTATCATGCAGCCCTCGATGGCTTGCCAAAACTCAGTAAGCGGCCCTCTGCTCAAAATAATTGCCTGCCCCCGCATTAGAGAGAGTGCCCTGATTGCTGTTGGTCCTGTAAGACTTCAGAGTGAGGATTCCCATGCGTATCCCTTTTGCAGCGCACCTATTTCATGAAGCTGAAGACCATGTACACGGTTGGATACAGCACTTCCCTCCTGACGCTGATGATAGCCTTGGGGGTCCTGGCAGCCTTTAGGTGAGGAGAAGTGGACCTTCTTTGTTTGCAAAACCTCTGATTAACCCTCACAGACCCAAATTAATATGCTTGTTTTCACGGGAACATAGATGGTTAAACAGTCTCACAACCATTCTAGAAACTAGAGGCAGAAGTAGTCTGAATTCACTGCTCCGGCCCTGTAGTGTGTTTTTCTCTTTTAAATGCTCCAAGTGGTGGGACTGCCATCATTTCTGTCCCGTGGTAACTGATCTCAGCAGCAGACAGCTTTTTTTCTCTTCTAGTTACACTCAGTTTTCCTTTATTTACAGCCTGGGTGAAATTCTCTTCTGTGTCACAATGCATTGGCTTCAGAGAAGGTGTTTCAGATTTACACGGGCCAAATCTGCTCTCAGTTTTGCCATAAGCACTTGTAATGCATATGTTCTGGAGGTCTGAGTTGGCTGGTTACTCAACCAGCTACATTTAACTGACAATGGATGAGCACTCTGTGCAGAAGGAACCATTGCAAACCATTGCCCCGAGTCTGTAAAGGCTCACTGACTTCACATAGGATTCAACATGCTGAAGGCAAATGCAAAGAATAGACAACATCAGCAAAATGTGACCCACCCTGGGTATAAGACAGCTGGTTAATTCAGAATGGGGGTAGGAAGGGAAAGCAGACCAAAGATAACAGAGCAAATGCTCACTTGTACAGCAGTGCTCAGATTAGTGTCTATGCAAAGCAAATATGGCTTGAAAGTTTCCTTCTGAAAGAACCCTTTAGGCCAGACAAGTGAATGGGATTAAATCAGACTTCCTTTGAAGGATAAAGGGCTGAGTAGGTTCTGCCAGTTCTTGAAGTCGAGAGGCCAGGCAGAGTCCTGATGCTGAGATCAGCCAGCCCTCCCTTGTCTGAGGAGCATTAACTACATAGGATTTCTCTCTTTTGGGCACAGAAGACTCCACTGCACAAGGAACTACATCCACATGCACCTGTTCACATCTTTTATTTTACGCGCCCTGTCAAACTTCATCAAAGATGCCATGCTGTTTTCCTCTGAGGATGTCAACTACTGCAGCGCTCACATGGTAAAACCCTGGACTCCCCTGGGATTTTAGCAAAAGAAATGGCAATACAGGAAAGGGGCTGAGAGCCCTGATGTGCAGAGCTATGTGGGGGGAAGGAAGCTTTTAACAAATGCTGCTCTCCTCTGTTTTCCCCTGTCCCTGTATTCTGTATGCTGGTTGAGCTGAAATTACAATGTTCACATGAGACCTTCAGAGAGTGTCTGCGGCTCTGGGCTGTGGGGGGTTTGGTAAGACGTGCGAGAAAAAAGTGCTGTCTTTGCTCACCTGCAAAGGCAGGGTGCTCCCTGCCAGGGCCATACAGCCTAAGGCTTCCTCTGCAGCTTTGCATCACTGTCTCTCCCTCCCAGGAGGGATGGAGGCTATGAAAGCAATGGCAGTTTCTAGGTGTTGGTTATAGCCGCCTTGGTCTAAAGACATAGGCCGACAAGGACTTTTTGTGTCAATGTGATATCTTTTATTAGACCATCTACATTTTCCGACTATTTTGTTGGTCTAATAAAGGTATCACATTGACCCAAAGAACCTTGTCTGCGTATGACAGTTTCTACACACTTCCACTGAGAAATCAGCCATGTGCAGAGGAAACCGTGTTGCATCTGCTGCCAAACTCAACTTCCCCACCCCAGCCCCAAAGGGCTTCAAGCCTCTTGGCAGCCTGCAGCACAAGAGGCAGAGGGTCTGCAGGTTTTAGAGAACTGGCACTATTTCCGTGTCTCCTGCAACCTTCCCCAGTGCTCCTCTCTTCTTTACAGGAGTGCTAGGGGTTCTCCAAGTTATCACACACCAGGCATGGCATGCACAACAGCAACACACCTTCCTTCTACTAATGGGCTGTACTTGTGTTGTTGAGCGCGGGGGGTCATACTCCTTACTCACATCATTAGTGCACTAGTAGCAAGGGCCTAGATATCACAGCAGTTGAAGACAGCATCATGCAATGCAGTGCAGCAGAACACGTTGATTCTGCACTGGCCCTAGCAGTGTTGCCAACTCCGAGCCCTCAAAAATTCCCAGCCAGGCCTGACAAAGTCATGAAACTTACTTAAAAATCACAACTATTTTTTAAAAAAGAAAATAATTCTGTGTTCTTTTTACTTGGCATATTGTTTCTGAGCTTCTGAAATGCACTGATTTCAACTTTTTAAGCTTTTCTCCACAACCAAAAGAGCTATAAGCTTAGGCTTGCGAGCTAAGTTTCTCATGCAGTCTCTATATTCTGGCAGTTCAGACTGGAGGAAACCACGCCAAATATTGTAAGAATCAAAACTAAATTAAATGTTGCCAGCAACACGGCGTGAATCAAAAGCTGATCAAAAAGTGACGTCCACTTTACTTGGAATGCATTGAATTTTACATTTTGTATTGAAATATGCTACAAACTAAAACTTTTTTTGGGGGGGGGCAATGTTCAGTTTTCTAAACCAAAAAAAAGAAGTATTAACTGAAAAATAAAAATATTTCAAAGTCTTAGCCTGAACTTGCTTGGGCAGCTGAACAATGAAAACATTTCAACCAAAGTTAGTTTTCCCTTTAAAAGTTGGTGCCCATTTTTCACTGAAAAAGAGATAAAAAGAAAAAAATACCTAATAACTTTGTGAATCAGTGGCAGCACTACTGATTGTAATGGGCAAGAACATCGAACCCACAAGGCAGAGGAAATCAGGCCTTCACATCCATATCCCATTCAGTTGTGGCCTCTCAGAGACTCTCAAATTAAGATACCCTTTACTGCCTCCATTACTATCGTATCTGGCCATACCCCAGTTTTTAGATTTATTCTCACAACCTCCTTGGGAGGTAGCGGTGGGCTATTATCTCCATTTTATAGATTGGGAACTGAGGCAGAGAGACTAAGAAATCAGTGGGAACTGGATGCACCTCAGAGGTTTTGGGCTCAGAGCTTGCCCATATGACTGATGTCTAGGGTGTAGCAGGGAATGCCACCTAAGTCTTTGAGTCCCAGGCCATCACCTGCCCACTGTTCCTCCTCTTTCTCATCATGCAGACATGTGGACTAAGACCATCACTTGCCATCACAATGAGCATGCACCCTAATTTATCTGTTGAGACGTCTCTCTGCAGGAAGGCAGATGAACATGCAGCAGAAGCTAATTCTACTCTGTTTCTTTAGGCTGGATGTAAAATCATCATGATCTTCTTTCAGTATTGCATCATGGCTAACTACAGTTGGCTTCTGGTGGAGGGCCTGTATCTCCATGCCCTCCTGGTTATTTCCTTCTTCTCTGAAAGGAAGTTCTTCTGGTGGTTCATCGCCCTGGGATGGGGTACTGTGTCTCTTTTCAATAAAAATAATTGTTTGATTATTACTGATTTGAGGCCACTTTATCTGGAACAATAATTGGCTCTTGCAATTGCAGGAGCCCCGATGGTATTTGTTATCACATGGGCCATTGCCAGGCAGCTACATGAAAATATAGGGTAAGGCATTTAAATTCCATACATGTTGTACTCGTTGAGGGAAGCCACATAGGTGTGTGCACACCACTGCCAGGGTTGCCCTTCTCAGGAAAAGCCTCTTTAACTGTTACTGCTCTGCAGGTCGTGTGAACGATACTGCACTTCACTGGGACTCGGCAATGGGCCAGAGGCTGCAGGGATCCTGAAGCCCTCATTGAGAATAGGTCAGTTTTAAAGGATCCTCAGGCCCTTGCAAAGAGGGTTGGTCTACAGCTAGGCAGCATTTTCAAGCCTAGTGGATGGGCTCTTAGTATCATAGACTCATAGGCCCGGAAGGGACCCCGAAGGATCCTCGGGTCCAGCCCCCTGCATGAGCAGGAAAGACATCTGGGGTCAGGCAACCCCAGCCAGGTGACCGTCCAGTCTTCTCTTGAAGACTTCTAGGGTAGATGATTGCACCACCTCTGGGGAAGCTTGTTCCATAGTCTGGACACCCTAGTTGTAAAGAAGTTTTTCCTAATGTTCGTCCTGAAACTATCTTCCGGGAGTCTGTGGCCATTGTTCCTAGTTTTCCCCCAGGGCTCCCTGGTGAATAGTTGTTCACCGAGCCCCTGATGTACGCCTCTGATATAGCGGTAAGCTGCAGTCAGGTCCCCTCTCAGCCTTTTCTTTAGGCTGAAAAGTCTGAGATCTCTCAGCCTCTCCTCATATGGCTTGCCATGCAAGTCCCTGATCATGTGGGTGGCCCTTCTCTGGACCCTCTTGAGCTTTGCCATGTCCTTGTTGCAGTGCGGCGCCCAGAACTGGATGCAAAACTCCAGCTGCGGCTGTACCAATGTTGAGTAAAGCGGGAGAATCACTTCTTTGGATTTACTGGAGATGCATCGATTGATACACGGCAGAGTTTTATTGGCCCTAGCGGCTACTGCGTTGCATTGCTGGCTCATGTTAATGCTGGGGTCTGTTGTTACCACAAGATCCCTTTCTTTTGTAGTGCTGGTCAGGTTAGCGATGCCCTGTAGGTGTGCTGGGGGGGTCTTCCTTCTCAGATGCAGCACTTTGCATTTCTTTACATTGAACCTCATCTGGTTCCGTTCTGCCCAGCATGCCAGCCTGTCTAGGTCTGCTTGTATCTGCAGCCTATCTGCAGGTGTGTCCGCATAACCCCATATCTTGGTGTCGTCCGTGAACTTGGCCATTGGGCTCTTCATCCCCTCATCCAGATCATTGATGAAGATATTGAACAGCACTGGGCCAAGTACTGACCCCTGGAGTACACCGCTGCCCACATCTCGCCAGGATGACACCAATCCATTCATTTGGACTCTCTGTGTCCTACCCTGCAACCAGTTTTGCACCCACTTGACAGTCCCGCAGTTGAGCTCGATAGCTTGAAAGCCACCTGGCATCTTTTTTTTGTGCTCCACTGATGGAGTCATTATATAACTCTTTCAAAGGCTGCATTTGACTTCTATAATCAGAGAAACCTTTTTTTCTTTGAAGGTTTCAGGTGTTTCCTCCCACACTTCTGGATAAATAGCGTTGGGCTTTATTTTGAAGGGCAATCTGCCATTTTGTCAGGAACAGGTGTGAACCTGGTCTCCTAGAAGTTTTGGCTCTGATACCTGTGGGAAATTGTTCTGTGGGAAAAAAAAAATGGCACGGAAACCTATTTGAAGTGCTATGAAATTAAGTCCTAGCGTGAGCTTTGTTAGCAGTGGCTGATTTAACAAGGACCTCTTTTTCTTCTATTATTGCAGGTGCTGGGACATTAATACCAAAGCTGCTATCTGGTGGATCATTAGAGGCCCTGTAGTTTTGTCTATTTTTGTAAGTCTGTCCTGGGACAAGTGCATTGAAAAGTCTACTTCCAGATACCGGGACATCAGAGAGTATCAGCACAACAGGGTTTAGAGCCACATCAACAACAGGATGCTCCGCATGCCCCTTCACTGGTGCAATACGGGAATAACTCCCCGGGAGCGTTTTGCTCAGCGGGATCCGGGTCTGTAAGGATTGCCTCTAGGGTTAAATTCACAAGGATTCCTCTGAGTTTCCTCCCTGGCAGCAACGGCCAAGCGGGGATCAGGTTTCCACATCCTGTTGATTTCGCAGGCACTTCAGCTGGCTTGTGGAAGCTTGTTTTGGACTGCTCCCGGGAAGGCAATGAAGGGGAGGCAGAGGAGCTGAAGATCTCAGCACAATAACCTTTGTGCCTCTGCCTCGGCACTGCTTCTCCCAGCCAAGCCAAAAACAACTTGTCTTACATAAGCAGCGGTTTTTGCTTTTAAAACACAGGCCCAGCTCCTTGCTGGATTCCATGTGATAAGGTGCTGGTGCACCGCTGGGATAAGTGCCTCTCCCTAAGGCTACAGGCATTGCCCTAAGACCCCTCCGCCCACAAGAATTCGGGACACGCAGTACTGCTGTGCTGCGTGGCTCGGGGAGCCTGGAATGGGTGACCTGCAGGTGGACACGTGGCCCTCGATGTCCTGACTTCGGTCACGGGACTCCTGTATCTTTGGTGGTGCACATTCAACCCAGTTGCATGGGGGGTTCTTAAAGACTACTCAAGTTGGTGGGCCATTGTCTCAGTAGTACGGAGATGGTCTATGTGCAGTCTGTCTGAACAGCAGCCGTGCCAATGACATCTCTACAATTATCCCAAAGCACTGGTGCAAAATAATTAAGGCCATCTGCTGGTGCTTATCAATGCAAAACACCTGGGGAGTGGAACGGGGAAGCTGGACTTCACTAGGGCCTTTTGCCTTTCGCATTTAGGAAACCATGACCCTAGGTATCACTTGGGTGAGCAGGAGGGAGTCCTAGACAGCTCTGCTGGGCCAAATCCTGGGTTCATTAACAACCATTCAACTCCCCTGACCTCACAGCTGGAGGACTGCACAACTGGACAGGCAGGTCTTCACCACACCAGTATTTACATACCAACCCCTGTCCATGTTTAAACAAGGTTGGGAGTGCTTCCGATGCCAGCCACATAACAAACATATTTGCAGAGCTCAAGGGGTTGAATGAAAATTGTCCATTTGAGCCTGGGGAGGAGTAACATACCAGGCTTCCTGAGCTGCTCCTGCCTCAGTTTCCCCCTCCAAGGCTCCTCAAAACCCTACACCATATATCAAATCCACTTTACTGCCTGAGTTCCTCTTTGCAGCAGGTGCCAGAGCTGTAGGGTGCTCATCTCTCAAGGCTTTCTCAGGGCTTGGATCATACCAGTATAGGGCAGGGTATTAGTAACACAATGCAAGTAATCCTTGAAATCCCAGTGCAGATAATGTCTCTTGAACATTGTCCCCAGAACAGCGCAGCACTACAGATACCCTTGTTTCAGTGCCTGCTGTTGCTCGCAGAGCTCCTCATCTGCCCTCTTTTTCAAGCAGCCACCCTGAGGCCTCCCCACACCTTTTTCTCTTCCCAGGAAAGACTCCCAGTCTCTCTACCCAGTTGTTCTTTCTTCACCAGGGGTGAGCCTACCACTTCCCTGGACTGCACCTTCTCCCACCCTGAGAAAATCAACACATACAGCTTCTCTGCTATTCTCCAGGCCCCTCTACCCTGGGGAAAGTCAGCTGGCAACTCCCTCTGCTTGTGTCCTGCCTTTAAATTTCTCTAACTCTGCCATTCCCCCCTGTAACAGCTCTCTTACGTCTCCCACCAGATCTCTTATTAATCCCAGCCCTCCCTCCTAGTTAGGTCCAGCTGAGAGGCACCAGTCTGTCCGAGAGAAGTAGGAGCCAGTGTAAAGGGCCAGCGGCACAAGATGCAGCTCCGAGGAAGGTTGATTTTAGCTGCGTTGGTCTAAGGACACGGGCAGGCAAGGTTCTTTGGGTCAATGTAATGTCTTTTATTAGACCAACTAAACGCTTAGTTGGTCTAATAAAAGATACCGCATCTACCCAAAGACCCTTGCCTGCTCTGAGGAAGGCTTCTCTATGCCGTGGAGTCATAATGCTCTGGGGCATAACTCAAAGGAACCTCGCATTGGATGCAAGTGTGTCCCACGATCCTCTGATTTGCAAGGGATGCACATGGAGGAAGTATGAAGAGGTTCCCCTTTTCATGTTTACCTCCATTAGACTGAGACTTCCTCCCAGTACAGGGCGTCAGATTTACTCGCATATGTGGGGGAAAAGGTTAAAAGCAGCAGTGCAGTGGTTTGTTTTGCAGCCTCATGGGGCACAAGCCGGGGTGTTGGTGGAGCACAGGGCATGCATGCGAGGAGCTGTGATATGGAACACAGATAAGATATTTCCCCATGCTGCCATCTGGTTTATATTACTTCTTATCAAGAGAGGAGAATTGAATTTGCATCCGACTATATCTTGTTATTTCTGCTCTTTGAGTGCCAGGTCAAATGAGCAAGGACTGGTTTTGCTTCACTGTTCCAAGAAGCACATCAGCATTTTTAGCCAGCTTTCCTGGAGGGAAACAAGCAGTGCTCCAGCAGTTACTACCCTCATGAAGCCAGGGTTGCCTGCAGTTTCTTTGCTTCCACTATCTGAGGGCCCGCCGCTTCCCTGTAGACAAAGAGCAAACTGTGTTTGTGACAGTGGTTGGCAAACGGTCCCTTTAACACCCTCCTAACATCTTTATTTGCACCTGGGCAAGCTGGGCCATTCAGCAGTTCTTGTTCGCAACCGCGTTTTGAGTAGGCAGCCGTCAAAAAATGCAAGCCGCTTATTGTACAGGCATGCACGGTCCCCCTTTCCTTAGCCATTTAAGTTTTAATAATAAATCCTGACAAATATTTAGCTGTGCCTTGGGAGGGGGATGGGAATAAACCCTTGGACAAAGGGGCAGAACAGAGCATATATAATGCCTGAGTCTTCAAAAGAGGGTTCAAGTGAGCAGAGGCTCCACAGAGATCAATTCACCCTGTGGGAGCAACTAGAGATGAATGTGGGTAGGTCCGAATGGTGAAGCCAGGCTGTAGGTGCTGCGCAGGGTGTCCCCGGGGGCTGCTAATGCAAGGGGGTCTCTGCAGTCTGACGCCTGTCCTCTGTGTGCATTGTTTTTACAGATTAACTTCATCCTTTTTGTGAATATTTTAAGAATCTTAATGAGCAAGCTCAGGTCGCCAGAAGGAAGGACCAATGATTTCGACCAGTACAAGTAGGTTCTTTATGTCCTTCTCCCTCCCTTCCCCGCTTTTTCTTTAAAACAATACTTTCTCCCATTTTATGGTGCCTTGCCATTTATTTCTGCTATTAGGAGACTTGCAAAATCAACACTCCTTCTCATTCCCCTCTTTGGAGTTCACTACATCATTTTCGCTTTTTTCCCTGAAGATGCGAAGAGTGGCACAATGGAAATCCAGCTCTTCTTTGAACTGGCAGTTGGATCATTCCAGGTACAGTTTGACATCACACTTTCAAGGCAAAAAAAGGCATTTTCATTTTGTTCATGAATGCCATGTACCAAGGAGAGGGAGGTCAGTAGGAGCAAGTAACATTTTTTTTTGGGGGGGGGTATATTTCTTTAAATTAAATCCAATCTAGATGTAAAAAAAAACACACCTGAGGTTGCAATGTAAGTCTAAGAATTAATCTGGCTTTGTTATTTTACAGGGATTTGTTGTGGCTGTGCTTTACTGTTTCCTTAATAGTGAGGTGAGTTTTCTGCCTACCCAGCTCCTATAGAGGTCTTCTGTTGCTTAAGCATACCACAGCGGTATGTCTGATTAGTTCAAATTATTCATTCGCATGTGAGCTGCCTCGTATTTCACCTGCCAGCTTGCTGCCAATTTGCCTGCTGTCACCTGTGAAATGCCTCACCATCTCCTTGACTTGACTAACCCAAATAATTATGTATTATCTGCAAACTTCTCCACCTTTCTGCTGCCTCCTCTCTGGATCATTTATTAAATAGCAGGCCTGGTATGAAACACTGGAGCACACTGCTATTAATGCTGAAAATTAACTGGTATCCCTCCTCTCTGGGGTCTGTCTTTAGTTCCTAATCCATGGCAATCATTTATTTGTCATCCCATGGCTATTTAGTTACTTTAATCGATTCATGGGGAGGAGTGTATCAAAACTCTGATTAGAGTGCAAATAAACTAAGATCAACCTAGATTTTACAATCTTGGGGACTGGGGCTGTTTTGTATAGACCTTACTGCTATGAGGCCTGGTTCTGTGGTTCCCAAAGCGTTACCATCGTCAGAGCTGGGCAGAAAACTTTTTTCCCATTTTTGGGAGAATTTGATATTTTGGAAGATTTTCCCAGTCCTTCTGGAATCAAGCCACAAAGTCCATTTTAAAATGCTCATGGTCTGAACATGAACAGAGCAAAGTTTCATAGTTCATAGTTAGTAGGGTCAGAAGGGACCTGAGCAGATCA